GATAAGATTGTTGATATACTGCTAATGTTATTCCCTCCCTCTCTCTCTATCTCCCACTCCCTCCACCAACTCCATCTCCAAGTAAGAGTGGGTGTATGGACATATATTTACAAAGCTTTTACTAAGTCTGACACAAGGCAATGAATGTGGTGAACTAAAGGTAGTAAATGTTTGCTAGGCAATCTCTCTAACTATAACCTCGTATATATATATATATATATATATATATATATATGTGTGTGTGTGTATATATATATATATATATATATATATACACACACACTGGATATGTATGTTAACATATACACATAAGAAATTAATATTTGAAAGTGTGGTTGTTCATTTTTGTATCTGTTAAGTGTATAAAGAATGTATTTGTGAATGTATATGTGTGTATATATATATATATATATATATATATATATATATATATATATATATATATATATATATATATATATATAATTATTTATTTAGAAAATTTATAACATAAACATGTTATAAATCACTGCAAAAATAGCCATTTTGTTTCAACACTCCTGGTGTCTTATCAAGTGATGATGTTGAATGCAAAACAAATGGTTTTAAAAGTTTCAAATTAGTTTTGTCTATTATATAAAATATATATATATATATATACACACACACACACATGAGAGAAAGTACAGATGGAGTAAAAATTCACAGTTCGTAGCATTTATTTCTTTTAAAAAGTGCTCAATATCAAAACAATGTAGAGCAAAATATTTTATTGCAAATTATTACAATAAAAATATAATAATTTTATATATATAATCTCAGTGGTGACTCTCGGTCATCAATCTTGGTCAGGCTCATTACACTCTTTAACAAAATATATTATTGGTATAACTTAGGTACTAAAATGATTCCTTTACTCTAACTAAAATATATTATTTTAAAAAATCTCTGTATATGGAATTTTTCATATTTTAATATTAATTGTAATAATTCTATAAAAATAAACATTTATTTTAAAACATTTTTCTAGACATGTAAGAAAAAAAGGACAAAGACTTTGATATGCTTGTTTATTGCCTCCTTCGATTTATTATTGTTTCCTAGCCTGATTATCAATTCACTGATGGTAGAGTGTGTGTGTTTGTATATATGTCTATGTGAGTATGTTTATGTATGTCTCTGTGAAATTTTAGTTTAATTTATTGTACATTTATGATCGGTACTGCTGACTGATATCATATTTCTTCAACACCTCAGTTACACACTTTTACACATGGTAAAGTGGATAAAGGCATTAGTTAGATCCAGTGACAGGATCCAAAAGAGTGTGAGTTCAATACCTGGTTAAGGCAGTGGAGAACTTGGAGCGGGGAATTAACAGGAGATAACTGACAACTGACATCCATTAAAACATGGCACATGGAAGTAGAACAGTCTACCCCAGCGAGCGAAATAAAGGGTTCAGTTCGCCATTCCAACCACCTGAAGAAGGCCGGAGCATACAACGGCTGAAACGTTGTAATAAATATGGCAACAAAGATAAGGACAATAGTCCGAATAGTCTACATAATACCTCATCTCGGAAATATAGACAGATTCAGTTACAATCCTCACCCAAACCCTCCAGCATTAAGGCTACAACTTTCTTTGATTTTTGCCAGAGGCAGGTTAAATTTAATTTGCCCTTTCTCAAAAGATACATTCCACTAAAAAAACCTCATACTGTACGAATAAATTATTTAAAAAGATTTGAAAAGAATAAGTTGAAAGAAAAATGTGTTCTTTAATAAACAGGGCATACAAGTCATTAGAGATTTTTTAAAAGATTATAAAATTAAAGCAAGAAATACATTGTCTATTAAGTATATCTCCAGCTCAGATTGGGCTCAGATCTACATAGCCCAACTCTGACTCACCAAGTTAATTTTATTTCATTTTTTTTTTTTTTTTACTTACTTTCTTCGTCTCCCCCCCCCCAGCTCTGTTCTTCTTTATTATGAACAATATCAATGAAATGTATTTCAGTCAATATTTTGAGGCACTGTGTTAAAACAATTTTGGATCCAGTCAAGAATGTGACACACTATAAAAATTTTTTTTTTTTTTTTTTGCTTTGAAATAGATATACTTGAATGTTGACTCACTCAGGTTGAAACCTGACAAGCCCAATCACCCCCACCATATATATATATATATATATATATATATATATATATATATGATTGACAGTAGGTTTAATTCCAGACTGCAGGTTTCCCATGATCCATTAGATTGTCAGGATGCCATGCTCTGTAATTTCCCTTTGTGCCATTTTTTGGGGTAATGAACTGATTACCTAGCGGCACCTCTCCAAGTAGTAACATGTGATAGATTTTATTGTGCTACATGATACTAGCAACAGGGAGCAATCCCTGGTCTATTATCAAACACATGACCGACTGAAAAAGCTGAAGGATTTGAACTGCTCTACTATTTATGCATAGCTAGAGGGAGAAGTGGATTCATGCCTTTTGCAAGCGTATTAGATCAAAGTTCCATTCTGCATGCTGTTACATGTTTGGCAAACCACACCTCCAAAAAGGAGATAAGATCTTAAATTCTTGACTAGTAGCTTTTTGGTTTTCTAGTTAGAAAATTTTCCTTTTATTTTGTGTTAATATTCCAAACGATTTCTGCATAAACACTGAATCACAATATTTTGTAGTTTTTTTTTTTTTTTACTGAATTATAAATTTTAAACTGTGCTATATAAAACAAAGGCAACATTAGTTCATCATTAGTGAAGTGAAAAAGTCTCTTGTTTTTTTTTTTTTTTTTTTTTTTTATTATATTTGATGGACTTCAAAACAAACACTATCTTTTAATGAAGTAAAATATAAATAAAGTTCCAAGTTAAGACAAGAGTCGGGAGAGTTTGAACTGACGCGTTTCTTTATGCATAAAAGCAATTTCAAAGCGTGCCCAGTTGAATAAAGTCAAGTTATGGAGTAAGATAATATTAACAAAAACAATTTGACTGCAAGTGGGTTGAATTTACTTATCGTACAAGTTTTTAGTCTACTAAATAAAAATAACCCTTAGAAAAAGTAATGTGATCCATGAACATCTAACATCTATCAGTACATGCATGCAAATATAGATATGCACAAGCGCACACACACACACGCATACATACATATATATGAGGCATGGTGGAATAATGAATAGCAGCTTGGATTGAGGAATCGGAGAGTCGAGTTTGAATTCCAGTCAAATCCATTACATTCCTTTATGTGCTAATACCCTTGGGAAAGGTGTGAATCCTCTTCTTCTCCCTCCAGCTATGGGTAAATAGCAGGACAGACTGGGTTCTATAGCTTTGGATGGCAACTGGTCTAGGAGAAGGATAACTCTGAATTCAAAACCTGCGGAGGGTTGTTTGGGAACCTTGTGGCACGTAGTGCATCAGGTCTCTGAATTTGGCCCTTCAAAAGGCATGAATGGTCCTGCACGAAACCTTCACCACTATAATCGAATCTCATGTGCTGCTGTCAGGCTGTCGGTTTCCTAGGAACTGATCTGCTTGACTCTCATACATCAAATTCAATGAGAGAGTCGTGTGTGTGTGTGTATGTGTATGTATGTATGTATATATATATATATATATATATATATATATAAAAGTGGGCATTTAAGTCATCTTCTGCAGACGGTTCTTGATTGAATCCTCATCACAATAGGTAGAGAGGAGTAGAATGTGATAGGCAACAATAAACTGCAGTAAAACTCAAAATTTAATTTTAAGTATTGAATTAATGTTTAACTGTACCTTTGAAAAGTTGAATGATAATTTTTCTGCCGCCACTTAATTTAAAAACAATTTGATGTAAAGTAGGTCCTTGCTTTCCATACAAGCAATTATTTTTATTTCATGGGTTACTTTCAATGGATTTTGCAATTGATTTTGATTATTCCCCAATTTATTTCAAAGTTATAAAAATTATTGTACAAAAAAAATTTATTGCAAAAAAAAAAAAAGTAAAAAAAAAAAATCATTGAAAACCATCCTTGTAATAAAAACTTCCGAATCAAAAATTTTAGGATTATGGGTCTGGATCCAGACTGGAATGTTTGAATGTTTTAATTTGCTCATGGAATCGCCTGGTTCCAAAGTGGCATATGTTGGGCAATGACCTCTAAGAGTAAAGTTGAAAAAAGTAAAAGTCGCATTTTATATATATATATATATATATATATATATATATATATATATATATAAATATACTCTTAAGGTGTGCTATATTTATGGGATAAAGTGCTCAATATCAGAGATAGAGCGTGTGTAAATATAAAAAGTGAACATTGAAGTCAACACTTAGAAGGTGACAGGCTGTTTCATGCTAGACATAATTGTCATGGCCTGACAATTGCGTCTAGCATGAAACAGCCTGTTGCCCCTAAGTGTTGACTTCAATGTTCACTTATATATATATATGTCTCAGTTAACTACTATATAATAGTCTCTCTCTTCACAAAGTCTTACAAATGGGTCTTGATGATTTCTTAGCTTATTTTAGTGACAGACTTTTTTTGATGTCTCATGTACCAGTGGAAATGATCCAATTCAGAGACAAATTATCTTCATTATTATTTTTTTTATTTAATCTTTTTTTTCATCACAACCTTTTCTGCAGCCAAATAGTTTGAAGTGCCTTTCATCTAAGATGACCTCTTGAGATTTGAGTTCATGTTTTCATCGAAAGCTATTTACACAATGTTTACTGTAATTGTAAGAGGTTATTTGACATAAAAAATTGTGGTAAAAACCAGTTAGAAGACTGGCTTAAAATTAATTTTTAAACCCAACTTCTATTTTATTTACTGCCTTAGTATTTTTGATGAAATTATTTAGACTTAGGAATGATATGTTATCACATTTTATTAAGTTTTTTTTTTCACCCTATAGAAGTCCCAAGAGCCTCTTAAGGTAGAGGGTTACTTTTTACTTAGCTTATTCTTTTTGTGTTCTTCCTCTTTTTCAGGTCTGCCCACTGTGTTCCACATATTTGCCCATACAATACCAGTTGAAGAACGGTCTCGTGCATTTGCTTACCTTGTCGCCTTTGGTTCTATTGGTCAGACTGTTGCTGCACTGGTAAGCGACTTCTATCCGCTTCTTTTCTTAACTGTTTAAAGAGTCGTTTAGTGATTGCTATGATGGAAAATATCTCACTGTTGGAACTGAAGAACAATGACTTGAAGATAATTAATTTAATACCAATTGCAATGTTTTACCTTTCAACAGCTAAACAAATTAACAAAAATATATAAACAAGTACTTTTTTATGATTTATGACATAAAAAACTGCAGCAGGAAATGCTAATACCTAATTTATATAAACTTCCTGTAAGCAATCTGTAATGCTGCACCCTGTGCAGGATTTTAAGGACAAAACTAATCATAATTAGAATGACATTAGTTTTGTGTGGTTTATTCATTTGATGAAGTAGTTCTAGGTATGATGATAAACTACATCCAGTCGCAAGGTCTCTGATTGGGGGATTGGAGGTTTTGAGGAGCGTGCAACCATCTCTTAATTGCTGTTTCCCCAGGTCCACAATGAGAGAGAGAGACCGACCCCTAACCCTACTGTCTGAAGTACTACCTTGAAGGAGACTTTCAAAGCTATGTCTAAGGATACGGCTCACAAAATGGCAAAAGAGTCTGTATCATGTTCAGTTTACTGCAGGAGCAATTATGAAATGCTACTTTGTGAAACTGACTCCCAAGTGGATGCTTTCTCAATCACTACAATCATAACCTGTTCAACTCTAGGGTTTACCATTATCTTCCCACACATATCCTCGTAAACTGTGCTTTTTACCTCATACTCTGTAACCGTCTACCTTGAGTGGCTCTTGGGACTTGTACAGAGTGAAAATTGTTGTAAAGAAAAAAGTGAGCAGCACTTCTTGTAAATAAAATTGAATCAATAAAAAAGTTAAATTGACTGATTTGCTTGTAAAAAATAAAGACATTTTTTTTTTTAATAATTTTTTTTTTTAATAATGTTTTATAGTATGCATTTATCACTGATGTAAACACAATTTCAAATTTGACATTTGTAAATAAAAACAAAGTACAAATTACTCTTTAAGAAGTCAGGTATCGATTTGACTCTGTATTTATGTTATGAACAGGACTCCACTTCTAAAATGATAAATTAATATTTTTCCATACTGACGAATGTTGTAGGCAGAGAAACATCTAATGAGTGCCAATCTACAAAAAAATGTTAAAAAGAAATTCCCTATATTTTTACAAGTGGACCAATTGATTAAAATAGTGTCTATAACTGTATATATATTTATGATTTGGTGACAGACATTGACCCTTTTTACTGTTTTTAATTTTTTATTTTTTATTTTCCAGGTATGTCCCCACTTACACTGGCCATGGATGTTCTATTCTTTTGGCTTTTTGGGTTTCATTTGGGTGCTTGTCTGGTGTTTCTTTTATTCTGAAACCAGACAGGAAGAATTCGTCCAACCTCCAAAAGTTAGTATTAAAACAAAAATGCTTTTTTTTTTTTTTTCTTTCTCATTCATCTTGAACATTCTTTCCCACAGGTTTAACCATTTTTATTATGCCAGGTATTTCTTTTGGTTCACATTGAAGCAGATTTTTTCTTTTTCCCACTTGAAGAGGATATTTTTAACGAGACAAGTTTCTCTCTTGTGAAAATAGAATGAAATTCAGTTCACCAATATAGCGACAACAAAAGCAACAACTTGATATATAAATATGGACATCAATAATACACACCTATAAAACATTGTGCGCATTGCTTCTAGAGGGGGGTGCTAAAAAGTTCCTGACTATTCTGATGTTTAGTCCTTACAATATGGATTCCTTTGCTTTTTTTTTTTTTTTTTTTTTTGTGAGTTGGTAGGGCTGGGAACTTTTTCATATCTTCATGCCATGTGTATTTGTATAATATATATTTTTCTGTAAATTCTTTTGCTGCACTAGGGTTATCTCCCTTGCACTTAAGTTATCAAATTGGAGTATTTGTCTTATCGGACACTGTCTAAAGCTGCTTAAACCAGGTAGTAAAAAAAGAAAAATTCTTGAAAGAGCAGAGTGTATTAATAATGATTGAAATAAACCTAATAATAATAATAAAAACAATGAAATATACTGTCATTGGTTAACTTGTGTGTACACACACACACACACACACACACACACACACACATATATATATATATATATATATATATATATATATATATTTTAAAGACATATTTTTATTTTTAAAGACATTGTTTTTCATAGATACAAATTTATTAAAGCAAATATATTTATGTTTAACGTTGTTAATAACATGTTATAAATAAATAAATTTTCATTGTCCATTTTTTAATATATGACGTCATTTGTTTACATTCCCTACGCCAGAGCAGTCATGAATGTATTTAGATTCATGGAAAGTTGGAGTTTATAAAGGTAAATCAATTTTTGTTCACCGATTGGTTCTTTTGTAGCTTGCTGTAAGGCACGCCATGAATATGACGGTTCCGTATAGGATGCAGGTTCTAATCTTGTCAAAGAATGTAAAATTTTCTATGGCGTGACATTCAGGCCGGTAAATGTTATTTAACACTGTTTATCATAAACAGAGCATTTATTAAATACTTGTATTTATGAAATAACAACGTTAAACATAAAAATATGTCTTTAATAAATAAATTGTCGGACCTTGTCCATTTCTTAATATATGACGTCATTTGTTTACATTCGACACGCCAGAGCAGTTATGAATGTGCGAGATTCATGGAAAGTTGGAGTTTATAAGCAGTAAACGACCTTGTCTACCCGATTGGTTCTTTGTAGCTTAAGCGGTAAGGCACGTCCAGCGTATATGACGGTTCCGTATAGGATGCAGGTTCGAATCCTGTCAAAAGAACGAAAATTTTTATGAAAATTTCTCGGACATTCAGGCGGTAAATGTTATTTAATACTGTTTATCATAAACAGAGCATTTGCTTAAATACTTGTATCTATGAAATAACAACGTTAAACATAAAAATATGTCTTTAATAAATAAATTGTCGGACCTTGTCCATTTCTTAATATATATATATGTATGTATATAATTAAGTAATTCATCAAGTCAGACTTGATGAATTACTTAATTATAATTATCAAATCCTCCTAATAATTTCTATCATTTGTATATCATTGTTTGAGCGGCTTGGTGATAGTAGTTGTGGCTCCTGGGGGCAGAGTCCTAAGGTTAGAGAGAATTTCAGTTGAGTTCCACCACGGAATATGTGAACGAGTGGCACTATATTGAGTCTGATTTGCAATCTCTTTGTCACCGAGGCCCGTTGGAACAGTTGGTATGATGTTTGCTTGACAACCTGTCAGGGTTTTAATTCTTGGTAGTGGATGCGCACTGCTGATGAGTCCCAAATATAGGACAAAACAGCCGTCCAGTGCTTTCTGCATTCTGTTGAGGTTTCTTTCAGACTTGATGAATTACTTAATTATAATTATCAAATCCTCCTAATCATTTCTATCATTTTTACGATAAACGTGCAATCAATTTACAAATTCATGAATTATTCACACAAAAACAAAAGCAAAGGTTAATGATTTAATTGGCGAGAAATCCATCATCGCAAACAATTCAAATAATATACAAAAACCTCCGAATCTGTTATGAATGAATTGATCCTTGTTTATACGGCAGAAATTTATGGAAACAAGGATCAATTCATTCATAACGGATTCGGAGGTTTTGTATATTATTTGAATTGTTTGCGATGATGGATTTCGCCAATTAAATCATTAACCTTTGCTTTTGTTTTTGTGTGAATAATTCATGAAATATATATATATATATATATATATGCAGCATATCTTCATTCAAGCATGTTTGGTTGAATAATCTTGACATTATTTATTTTTATTTTAATCCTCTCCATTTGAGAGGATTAAAATAAAATTAAATAGACATAATATGTCATATATATATATATATATATATATATATATATATATATATATATATATATATATTATAAATTAATTGATTTAAAATATGGTTATTTTCGCTACACAGTTCCAACCATGTTTCAAAAAATAGAAGCTAAAACCCCTAATTTTATTTTTTGCAAATAAATTAAAAGCATTAGTTCCATTTCATCTTCGTTTAATTTTGGAACCATAATGCTAATATCTTAAATAAACACTTATACCAAAACCAAAAAAATTTAGACAATAGAAAAATTAAGATAAAAACTGATGTAAATAAACAAAAACTATGTAATTGTTTAAACCCTCAAAATTGCCCACTACAAAATAAATGTTGCACTGAATCATTAGTATACCAATGCAATATCTCTTCGATTGAAAATCCTGATAACATAAAAATATATATAGGTTGCACTAGCCATGAATTCAAAAAGATTCAACCAACATCAAACTTCATTTAGAATAAATAAATAAAAAATCAAACATCTCTCAAAATATTTCTGGCATCTAAAAGAATCAAATAAAACACCTACAGTAAAATGGAAGTTAATAAGAAGAGCTAGAATTTGTAGATCATTAAACGACCCGTGTCCTCTATGTATACAAGAGAAACTATATATTACTAAGTTTATAAAAATAAAAATTTACTGAATCAGAGAAATGAAATAGCTATTATATGCCGTCATTGTCAAAAAATTTTCCTTAAATAATATAAAAAAAAAAAAAAAAAAAAAAAAAGTCTATTGAATGGCAGGAAAAATGTTTTAAACTGTTATTTAAAATTTAAAATTGTGGTTAAAACGCATTAAAACATAAACACCGTTTAAAAATTGTAGTTAAATAAAATGTATCCTAACCGAAACACCTCTATAATAAATGTACTACAAACACTTGAATGAATCCGATAAAACACCTCCTGAAAAATGAAATTATAACTAAAGCTAGATGATGTAAGGTAATGTATGACCCATTGTTCTTTGTACATACATATGAAACTTTATTACTTAGGTTACATATATTTAAAATAAATAATTTAATTAATTAATACATAAAGTTTACTAAATCTGAGAAATGACTTAGATAGTTTTGTAGTCTGTGCCATTTATATTACTTAAATATTTAAATATAATAGTTTAAAAATTGTAATTTACATATACTTTGTTATGGAAAATAATTATACTAACTATGAGTAATTATCCTTCTGTTATAAAGTAATATAGTCAATTAAAACTAACAATGAAAATATTTTAAAATTTTAATGTGGTAATTTTAAAATTGCAATTAAAATTGTAGTTAAATAAAATGAATTCTAACCTGTTCTTGGTACATACATATGAAACTTTACTACTTAGGTTACATATATTTAAAATAAATAAATAAATTAAGTAATAAATAAAGTTTACTAAATCCGAGAAATGACTTGGCTAATTTTGTAGTAAGTTCCATTAATATTACTAAAATAATATTTTAAAATATAAAGGTTTAAAAATTGTAATTTACATATACTTGGATATTGAAAAAATAATTTTACTTACTATGAGTAATATTCCTTCTGTTATAAAGTAATATAGTCTAATATAACTAACAATGAAAATATTTCAAAAGTTTAAAGTTTGTAATTTTAAAATTGAAACTAAAATTAAAGTTAAATTGAATGAATTCTAACCTAAATTTCTTTTAAATAATACTACACGCACTAAAAAAAGAATCCAAAAAAAGCAAATATAGTAAAATAAAATTAATATGAAATGCCATAAGATGTAAGCTTTTGAATGACCCATGTCCTTTTGTACTTACATGAGAAACATTATATCACTAGGTTTATATATATATATATAAAAAAAAAAAAAATGTTACCTCATATACATACTTAAACTTGAATTAATACATAAAGTTTACTAATTCTGAGAAATGACATAGAAAGTATTGTAGTCTGGGCCATTAATATTACTTAAATAATATCTAAATTAAAAGTTTAAAATTGTAATTTACATATACTTTGATATGAAAAAAATTTTTACTTACTATGAGTAATTATCCTTCTGTTATAAAGTAATATAGTCTAAATTAAAACTAACAATGAAAATATTTTAAAATTTTAAAGTTATAATTTTAAAATTGAAATTAAATTGTAGTAAAATAAAATGAATTCTAACATGTTATTTATACATACATATGAAACTTTATTAATTAGGTTACATATATTTGAAATAAATAAATTAATTAATTAATAAATAAATAAAGTTTACTAAATCTGAGAAATGACTTAGCTAGTTTTGTAGTAAGTGCCATTAATATTACTTAAATAATGTTTAAATTTGGAAAAGGAGGAAAAAAAAAAAAAAAAAAAATTTACATATACTTTGATATGGAAAAATAATCTTACTTAATATGAGTAATTTTCCTTCTGTTATAAAGTAATATAGTCTATTAAAACTAAACAATGAAAATATTTTAAAATTTTAAAGTTGTAATTTTGAATTTGTAATTAAAATTGTAGTTAAATTGAATGAATT